CTTATGCATGCCCCCTACAGACCTCTTAGGAAAGGGGTGAGGTCAATAGTAGACAGTCTAAGGTTAAAGTTTTTGGGGTTTGGGGAAGAAACTACAGAGTCGGGTAGAGTATTCCAGACATTGACCACTCTATTGCTGAAGTTGTATTTCCTGCAATCAAGTTTGGTGTGGTTAACTTTGAGTTTGTATCTGTTGTGTGCTCTTGTGTTGTTATGGTTGAAGCTGAAGTATTCACTGACAGGTAGGACATTGCAATGTATGATTTTATATACCATGCTTAAATCAGACCGAAGATGGCGTAATTCAAGGTTTTCTAGTTCTAGAATTTCAAGTCTGGTGGCATAAGGTATTCTACAACGAGTAGAGGAGTGGAGAACTCTTCTTGTGAAATATTTCTGGACTTTCTCAATTGTGCTAATATCAGATATGTAATGTGGGTTCCTGACTGATGAACTGTATTCGAGTATTGGTCTAGCAAATGTTTTGTATGCTCTGGTTAGTAGTGTGATATTTCCCGCGTGTTCATTTTCGCAGGCTATTTCCAGCCAGCTGGGCTTCTTTCTCCAGGCAAGGCAGGCCGGAGCGGCTTCCAAGCTGAGCGGCCGGTTGCCCCTTCCAGCTGAGCCAGCCGCCCTGCAAACTGACACTTGGAAGGAAGGAAGCCAGGTTGGGGGGGCGGGGTTGCCCAGGAGACCCTCCTGTGCTGCTTGCTTAAGTGGAAGCCTTCCGCTCTGGTTTTGCAGGAGTGAGAAGCTGCGTCGGGGTTTTGCCCTGCCGGAGAGACGCAGAGACGCTGCCGCCTTTGTTCCTTTGGGGATTCTAGGCCTCTGAGCGTCTCCTCTGCCAAGAAGCTTCTCATTGTGGGTTAAAAAGCCCTCGTCATCTCTCACAAACTTTTGACTAGGACAGGAAGAGAGGAAGCTTGGAGGAAGGCCGCCCCGTCTCACTTTCAAGCCCAAATCGGCTTCTTACCTTGGGTGAAACCAGCTGCTCAGCAGCAACCGTTTCGGTTCTTCGGTCGGATGCTCGCCTCTGCAACAGAGAAGGGAATCGGGAGGCGATCCAGCAGGGGTGCTGTTCAAAAAGGCAACGGGGCTTTCTTGGGTTTTTTCCCCCTTCCTTGGAAATGTTTCGCTTCTCATCCAAGAAGCTTCTTCGGTTCTCGTGCTGTTCTTTGGAAACGCCCTTTTGGGACAACCAAGATGTGGATGATTGAAAGGAAAAAAAAAAAATCTCTGCCGTCACTGCCCCCTCCCACCCACACCTTGCTGCAAAAGCTGCCTTTCTGGTGTTTTTCTTTTCTAGAAAACTGAACCAGGAAGAGGCCAAGTCTGTCCTGTCACCGTCACCGGCTGTCACTCAGGCAGCCAACTTTCCTTTTAGCAAAACCAAACAAAGGCACCCCACTCTTTGAAGTCATTGTTTTCCTTTCTGGTCTGTTGGCTTTCTATCCAGTCAAAGGTAATGCTTTTTTTCCCACCCTCTTTCGGCTCCAATTCCTTATGTGCACATTTTCTTATTCTTCATGACGCCAAGGGAATGATTTCCAAGGAAACCATTTGGGCACGTTGCAATGTGGCGCCAGGAGTCGAACAATACCGCAGGGGAGGCTGGAATCTGGCGTGGCTACTACCTGGGGGTGGGGAGGTGTCTGTTGGACTCCTCTGCTGGGCAAGAGTTAGGGCCCCTGTGCTGGGGGGAGAGGGGGGCAGAGTGGACCTCAGCAAGATTGGGGGCTGGGCCTGGCTTAGCAGGACAAGGGATGGATCCCCCCCACCCACCAGGCTGACTTTGGTCGGGGTGGGGGGAGCCGCACTCTGCTGTCATGCTGCAGGAAGAATGCCGGCATCGAGCTTATGCTACTGCAGAGGTCCCCAAACTTGGCAACTTGTGGACTTCAGCTCCCAGAATTCCCGAGCTGACATGACTGGAGGAGGAATTCTGGGAGTTGAAGTCCACAAGTCTTAAAAGTTGGCCAAGTTTGGAGACCTCTTGTGCTACTGGGTCAGTCCTTTGTCAGTTGCATTGGTTGGCGCTCCCCACGGGGCCCGTTTTGCAAGCTGGAAAGCCCACTGTTGAGAAACGTGGCTTTGGTGGTTTTCTTTCCTATTGTGCAAAGCCCCACAGCGCTTGTCAAGCTGTGTGCAAAAGTAACCAGTTCCTCTGGGAGTGGAAGAGGGGTTAATGGCTACACCAGAGGCAAATAAGAGGCAGTTGGCCATCGGCCGCCTCCGCTTCCACTCTTAAGGAGGGAGGATGTCCAGGAAAGGGGAACTGGGTCTGCCAGTCACTGGCTGTAGCAATGCCTGGGCCCACATGCCAGCAACAGGAGGCTCACGCAGCAACCGCAGCGGCAATAGAAGCAGAAGAAGATTAGCAGCTGTTTTGAAAGCGCTCGGTGAGAGCATCAAATGAGACATCGTTTGCCCTGCCCGCTTTCCGGTCGCCCCCGTGACCCTGGCATTCCCAGAGCCCCTGCTCATCTGCACAGGGCTACTTCAGGGGGCAAAGAAGCTCAGCCGGCTGTCAGTCTTTGGAGGGGCTCAACAAGTCCCGGGCAAAATGCAGCAGCCCAATCCTGCCCCTTCCTCAAAGAGGGAAGAGGAAACGACCCGAATGCCCATTGGCACCGGAGGGCAGTTGCAAGAAAGGCCACGCCCGTGTGGTGAGATTGAGTCAATAGCACCTCGATTCCTAAAGCCCGGGGGGGTAAAAACACCCTTATTCTGCCCGGCAGGCGTTGCCAGGTGAGCCGTGACTCATTTTGGGTGGTGTGAAGTATCGCAAACAGACTGGAGCCAGCAAAAGTAACAGCAGCAAGGGACTTACTGGGTGCTGGTGCTGTCCATCAAGGTCCCTTTCGCATCCCTGTTGAAAGGAAAACAAACACACCTTCTGACTATCTCAAAGCCATCTGCCTGTAACGGCCAGGTAAACACCATCCATCCATCATTTCTCACTACTTGGCTGGCAAAGCACCTGTTCATGGGCAGAACGTGCGTTCTGCAGAAACACCTGGCTGTCTCCACCCCCAGGTGGGGATTGGAAGCTCTCGCTCTGGAAACCTGGAGCCTCCAGAACTCCAACCTGACATGGTGCTTGGCTCAGAACCGCCCGGGAACTCTAGTCCAAGACATCTGGGTGATCTCGGGACAAGCATGGAGGAGACAAACATCTGGAGAGAAAGCAGCCCTGAGGTTGTCAGGCAACCGCTCTATTTGCACAGACCCCCGCCCACCTTCCCTTCCTCCAATAGTCTCCTCCAAGGAGTTCAGTTCCTTGCTGGACAGGCCCGTTAGGTCTGCAACCCCTTCGGCTGACCTGGACAGGGTGGTTCTTTGGTTTAAGGAGTTGGATAATCGGAAAGCTGCAGTCGGACCGCCTTTAAATTTGGCAGAGGAGAGAAACTTCTCGTTGTTCCTCCGTTCCAATATGGCACACACGCAGGGGGTGGGATTCTACCGGTTCGGACCGGTTCTATAGAACCGGTTGTTACGATTCTGCGTTACGATTTTGGAGAATCGGCAAATCGTGTCCCTGGCTGGCCCCTCCCCTCCTCGCCCAGTCAGTCCTTATCACGCATGGACAACATTACGCACCTGCCCGACATCGCTGACTGCATTCTCTCCTGCCCAGTCACTCCTTAAGGTATTTCCTTTTTTCCCCCCTTCCCAACGATCAGCTGTTCCGATGATCAGCTGTGCTGGGATCCCCTTCGCTGTCTTACTGCTTCGCCCAGGAGGCTCCCCTGAGGCCCAGGAGGTAAAAAGGAGTGTGGAGTGCGGGGAGGGAGCTGTGCCGCCCCGCGCTCCATTTTTTGTCTTCCTGGGCCCCAGGAAACCTTCTGGGAGCAAAAACACCCCCCGCCCCCAGGGGGCCTGGGAGGCAAAAAAAACGGGGCAGAGGGGTGTTGCAAAAAAAAAGAAGAAGCCACGCCCACCCAGTCACATGGCCACACCCACCCAATTTGAATCCCACCCCTGGACACCTGTGATCAGAGGGAATAGGTTCCATCATGAAGCGTTCAGGAGCGTGTGAGATTTCACACTGAAAGTAGGCGGTGCATGTGGAGCTTTCTACAACCTTTCAGGAGCAGCTCTCAGAGGTTGACATGCTGCATGCCAAACAGACACAGGTCTGATCGCCCCAGAAAGCTGTGCTGATGGTGCAACAGGCCGAGTTTCCGAGTAAAGACTTTTGGGGCCACACTTACTCCGTGTGCTTCTCTCCGCAAGAACCACCCATTTCTGCCACATGTGATACCTGGCGTGGTTTTTCCAGATTCCCTCCCGTCTTCTTAATCTGTACGGTTGACTGTCGCAACGTTAGCGAAGCGTTAATTGTTCAAGGGACATATTGATTTCCTAACCATTATGGGAATTCTCTCCCTTGTGCTCAAAATGAAGGGAACCCTGATGAGTCTGTCAGCCTTAAAAGGGAGATGGAAATAAGGCACGGCCGGGCTGGGTTAGCCTTTGCCAGAATTGTTGCTGTTCAAAGGAAGTTGGTGGAGCAAGAACAATACATTCAGGTGGCATTTCAGGTGGCCAAGAAGGTGTCTGGATTTCTTACCTGACCAGGTAGGTGGAAATGGCCAGCGATAAGAGGGCGAGCACGGATATCCATAAGAGAACTGCCTTTCCTTGAAAAAGTGTCATCCTTGATGGAGAGAAAGAGCCAGAGGTTAGTCACCTTGCATTCCCAGACCAAAAAAACCCAGATGCTGATCTAAGAGGAGGAGGAGGAGAAGGCAGCGGCAGCCCAGCCTTCTTTTCCAAGAGAGCCATCTCTAGCGAAGGCAGAAAATTGGCCAGGTATAAACAGCCTTTGCACAAGTATGGAAAAAAAACAAAAACCCCAATGTCCCTAATGAAGAATTAATAATACATAAAGTAACGGAAAGTGCTGAAATGAATATGTTAACGTTGAAGTTGAAAGAAAGACGACTCTGGATTTTTCTTCATTTGGAATAAATGGTGTGAATGGTTAACGAACAGAACTAAGAAATAAGACAAGGAATCTCATCGTAATAATCCTTCAGAGAGTAAAATGTAAATCTATAAATTATACAAGAATAATTAAAGTTATTATCCAATATTAGACAAATGTAATATAATGTGTTACGATACTTAAGTTGAGAGCCTGTATAGATGTCAAGAATGCTGTTGAAATGAAGTTTTATGATGCAACAAAGGAAACTCAATAAAAACATATTTAAAAAGAAAGAAAGAAAGAAAGAAAATTGGCTAGGTAGATTCACTTTAGGTAAAGGCTGTGCCCACTCAAGGGCTGGCACCTGCCCTTCGAAGCCTGAGAGCACCCTTCCTCAACATCCAGCTCTCCAACCCATGCTGGCTGGGGAGGATGGGAGCTGCAGTCCCAGAGATGTGGCAGACCCGGAGGAGATCTGAACAATACCTTGACTTCGGCCTCTGGCTGCTCCGCTCTGCTCCCGGTAATATGCAAGGCAAGCTTTGATGTGGTTACTTGGAAGGAACTAAGTACTTGGTCCCTGGCAACCAGCTGCATTTAAGGGCCCGGCCTCTCGCCTCTGTCCTGCTCCACCTTCAGAAAGCTTTTGGAAACGTTTTTTTTTTCCCCCTCCCTTCCACACCCTCATTTCCCTCTGTGCCACCTCTTTCTGAGGGAGAGCCTGCCCCAGGGCCTTCCCTTCCAGGAGCCGACTTTGGGGCCAAAAGACGGGATCCCTGCTGCCATGCCTGACCAGCGGGGACCGTCAAGATGGCCTTTGCTCAGGGGATCCTACGGAAAACCAGCATCGGGGCAAGCTCCGAGTCCTGAAGGCAAAAAGGCAGCCTGGAGATTTAGCATCTCTTCTCCGACTGACTTTAAGAAGAGCAGCTGGGAAGCCGAACACCTTTGGCTTCTCCCAGGAGGAAGGGAGGAAGGCAGCTGCTGAGAAAAACACAGAAATACAAGCCAGACCAGAGGCTCTGTTTTGTGGCTGTTTACTGGGGGCGGGGAATGCCTCTTGAGAAACTCTCGCAGCCTTCCTGGAGAGGGTGTCACCCCCAAAATCTACAGGAGAGTTATCTGCGGCGACCCTGAACTCAAGCCTGGGGGGAAAAAGTGCCTTACCTGCTGAGAAACACCTAGGACACCCACAGACGCTGCAGTGGTCCTAGACCACGGAAGACATTTTAGAACCACTCGATTCTAAACTGCCATGCGAAAAAAAAGTCTTCTGAGAGGTTGATGCTTGTGGCTGCCTTTTGGGCCCCCTTGGCCAAAAGGTTCATAGCCAGACCCTTCCTCCTTTCCTTCCTCCCTCCTTCCCCCCTCCTCCCTCCCTCTTTCTCTCTTTCCCTTCTTCCCTCCCTCCTTTCCTCCCACCCTCCCTCCCTCCCTCCCTTCTTTCCTCGGCTTGTGAGTTGACCTTAGAAGGGTGGGGGTGTTCCACGGTCTTGATGGGCTAGAAGCAGACTTAACTGCCCACGCCTGGCAACGCACAACATTAGGCCCTGGTGGCCCACATTCCTGGCAACCGAGCTTCCACAAATTCCCCTGTTGAATGCCCCCACCCCTCTTTCCCTGATAAGTAATTTCCCAAAATAAGTAATTAAGTCGGTTCTACGTTTCGGGTAATAGCCGACGTATCAACAAGATGGTTCGGGCTCTGCGTCTCTCTGCAGCCACACAGCGCGATGCGATGCGCTAAAAGCCTCCACTTGAGCATCTATATGTGCCTCCCACTTGGGCAGCCCAGCCCTCCACCTCTTCGGGGCCCTTCAGCCACATCTTTTTAATGTTATCCCTTGCTCAGTGGTCTGTTTTGTGCATCCGTCTCCAGGGCTGAGCTCAGGTGTTGGGCCACCCGGCCTGGTTGGTGAATGGGAGGTTCGGCCATCCCAAGAGGCCAGCCATGCCAGAGCTGGTGGCCAACTTTTCTGTGACCCAGCTTGGGCACTTTTTCCCTTGACCCTTGTGCCTCTCCTGGAGAGAGATGGGGTCAACTCTTGGCCAGAGGACTGGGGAGGGATGGTTGGATTTGGGCCACATCCCACTTCATGGTTCTGGACCAAACGCTGGCAACACGGTTTATTAAGCAGGCTCTGGCTCAGCTCAGGTTTAACCTGCTCAAATTCACCTGGAAAAATATCCCCCACGTTTCCTCCTTCCAAGGAAGAACATTTGAATGCCTGGTGGCTGTTACAAAAACAAACAGAAACTCAAAGATTATTTGTGGCTGCCTTTTAGACATCTTGACTAAAGGCGAGCCTGCTTTTGCACGGAACGCACCTCATCTGAGTCAGTTGCTCCCTTCCGTTTACATTTTAACCGTTTTGTTATAAAAGCCTCCCTTGCCTCCCACCTTTTAATGTTTTCAGTGCTTTTATTTGAATAGATTTGGATGAGTGGTGAGTTTTGTTTTGTCTACGTCATTCCCTAGCATTTCGCTAGTACTGTTTGTTTATAGTCTGGCTGTCCCAAAGTTATTTTCTGACAGGATGTGGCTCGTCTGAGGGGCCTAAGGTCTGTCTTAGCAGCCTTAATGTTTTGGGGATTGACCGTTCATCCCTGTCTAGTCATCTAACCTCCCCCAAATAAATCAAACTTATCTCAAGTTTGTGGCAAATCTTTCCTTTGGATCAAATGGGCAAGAGCACCTCTGCTTCTCCCTAAAAACATATTCCTCAAGAGGTTCAGAAGAGGCTCTTTGCCCAAGACTTAGAGAGGGTTATCAGGGAGCTGCCCCCAAGCCCAGCTTGCAGCCTTCAAGATTCGGGAGAACAAGAGCAAAGGCTAGCATGAATCCAGGTATGCAAATATTGGCTTAAGATACACAGGGCTTTCGCTTACCTACCAAGGTGATCTGCAGTCGTGCTATTTCTTATTGCAATGTAGCATTATCAAAGTGATATGCATACAAAACCTAGTTACCTGACTCATGGGAATTTCGCTTTCCCCTCCCTTCTCCTCCCCCCCCCCACCTTTTTTTTTTTTTGCCTCCAAAGGGCAGGAACGGGCAAGTATAAAATCTAATTTTGCCTACCATTTTTCAGTTACGCCCCAACCTGCTGGGGGAAATAGGCTGAAGCAGTGAGGGGGGGGCGGATGTTTCCCAGAAGAGATACTGGCTGGGAACCATGGTCTTTTCCATACTCCCTCCAAGTCTAGGTCTGGGGACGGCAGTGGGGCCTGCAACCTCAGTTGAGTTTTCATGCCCCTGGACATCCTGATATCTGGGCTTTGAATGAGGCAAACCAGTAAGGCAGAGCCTGATAATAATAATAATTAAAAAAAAACAAAACCCCGTGCCATCAATTGATTGGCCAGCAAGTCTTGGGCCTGTTTACTTGGCCTTATTTGACCCAGGTAACAGCAGGATCGCTCCAGGGGTGATTCTTTTGAGGGCAAGGCGGAAAAGAGGCTTTGCTTTAGCACCCCAGTTAAAGAGCGCAGGAGTTCCTTGCCTGAGTTTGCTCTCATTAGCCCCTTCTCTCTCTCTCTCTCTCTCTCTCTCTCTCTCTCTCTCTCTCTCTCTTGACCCCCAGCCCTTGGGCCAATCCCCCCACTCGCTCCCCCTGTCCAACCGGCACAATGATGGGTTGGAGAGCAACAACTAAGGAAGGCCCGGGAGGTGAAGTCCAGCTCCCGAAAGGGAGGCCAAATCGAACCAAGAAGTGTTTTCAGGTTCCATTTCCTCACTTTAAAAAAAAAAAACCAGTTTTCATAGTGTACTGTTTTATTAGTCAAATTTCCTCTCAAAATAGTCAAATTTCCTGCCTCAGGCTATTTGAAGCTGTTCCCACAGTGAAAAGCCTCCAGCCTTCGCTCTTAAGTCAGGTGGGGGGGGGAAATAACAACAGGTCATATTTACCAATGTGGCAAATATACCTGGAGCTCTAAACGCAGGTTTTAAGAGGGAAGCATGCAAAGTTCTCCGCCTTTCCCCCCCACGATGTCCATTTTTTAAAAAAGGGAAACCCTCCACTTCTTCCCACCCCAATTATGAAAACATTTAAGTTTATGCTTCAAAACACCAATCTATAAATCTCTTCCCCCAATCTATAAATCAAACCCGACCTTCATGCACCTTTATTTCAAGGAGGGGGAAAGAAATCTGACCGTTGTCCCAAACTCCCCCATACCCCATTTATCCTTATCAACTCCGTGACATTGTCTGGAGAGCACGCAGCACACAGGAGGGACTTCAGTGCTGGAGAACCAGTATTTGCAGCAAACTCAACCCAACGCAGAAGGTTAAACATGATGTTTTTTTATGAAGCAGGCACCATCTCCAAACTTTAAGATTCTCTTATAATGCTCTGGATTCCATTTCCTGCCTGCCTCCTTCTACACCAGGAGGATTTGCTTTCTCGCTTTCTCCATCATGTGCCTCTTAATACTCCACGGCCAAGAACCAAACTTCCCTTCGTTCTCGGTTCCCATCGCTGCTGTGTTGTCCATGAAACCATCCTACCTTTATTTAAAGAATTCAACCTTTAAGAGGAGGAGCGGGACAGAGAGAATAGTTACTCTGCTTTTGTAAAGCACTCTGGGCAGACAAAGATAGAAAAAGCAGGGAATACGACAGGAACAAGGCGAAGAGATTTCTTAAACATGTTTAAAACCAAAACTCAAAAGCAGGCGAATAACCAGAGAAGGAGAAAGTAGAAACGGCTGCTTAAACCAGAGGGGCAGGCAGGCAAAGTAAAATAATTGTAGAGCACATACGCACCGAATGCTGAAGCTGACCTCTTTAGGTTGCAAAAATAGAGGAGGGAAATAACAGGCAGGGCTTGATTCTGCCGAACTGGGCAGATTTGCACAAAAGCAAAGCCTTCCAGCCTTTTCTGTCAAAATTAAGCCCCGTTTCGTGGTCTCCTCTTCTGGATGCATCATTGATAGCGCTTCCCACAGAAGCCGAGGAAGAGCAAACTGCTCAAAAGGAGAAGTCGGGCAGCGTAGGAGTCAAAAGAGCCATTAGAGGGAACCGTGTTTGGAGCGCTTTCTTATTTTCCTGCACTCTTTTCACTCCATCCTAAGGCTGCCTGCCACGTTTCCATGTTTTCCTCGCAGAAAACTGGCGAATGGAATTCCTATTGGTAAATCTGAGGTCGGGAATAGAGAGTTGGAAGGTGGAGCTGTTTTTTCTTCTGGCTCGGAAATGCTGTTTTGACAGGGCAGCAGAGGAGGGGGAGAGGCGAAGGAAGGGAGCTTCTTCATCTCCAGATGGTCCAGTCTCGCCTTAAAACGATTGGCCTGCATCTAGTCCCGCGGGGCTTGGTTAAGCCGCGGTAGAACAGAGTTTGCTTTCCTAATGCTAGTCCAGGGCCCATCCTTCTCCCTTGCCTTGTCCCTCAAAACCAAAAATAAAAAATAAAAAATCAACAGCTGGGGGAAAAAAACACCCCTTCGGATTTCTGACCTTCTCAATTTTGGAGCTGAAATCTTTTGCCCCAGATCCCCAGATAGTTTGATGGCTTGAAACGGTCCAGGAAAAGGAAGGACAGTGATAGGGAGGGAAAGAAGGGAGGTGATTGATTGATTTACTTATTTTGAATATTGAGCATTGGGCTGGGAGGGGTCCGTCCCCGTCCCCCCCAACCAGACTAAACCAAAAAAAAACTGAGGTACTTTATGAACGATAAACTTTTCGAAAGTTCTGGGGATCTGAATTTTCGAAGCAACATCTATTCATGTATTCACAACTATGTATACACTTATACTTATTATCTTGTAAACAATTGGCAAATCAAATAAATAAATAAATAAATAAATAAATAAATCTGAACGGTTCATTAAGCTTTGGGGAGAAATGCATCCCCGTATCTAAAGGATCCCACTGCCCTCAAAGTCGGTCCAGGGAAGATCTGTGAGTGGGTGGGGTCTCTGGGAAGGTTTCCCCCCCCCCAAGTCAGCCCTAGGAAGTGCTACTTGCCTTTCCCACAGATATTGTAACACCTGACCTTGCCTGTAAACTGTCGCAAGCACCAGAAAGAGTTACCAAAGTTCAGAGACGGTGCTGTATAAGAAAAGCTCCTTTAAAAAAAAAAAAAAAAAGTTCTCCCCCTCCCTGTGGTCTGTTTCAAATACCCTGCCTGTGAAGGACATGGGTGTGTGCAGGGTTCAAATGCTTGTGGAATGCGTTTAAAGATTTTAAATCTTAATCCGTTTAACAAGGATAGGTTATCCTCCTGACAATGGCAGAGTACTTCCTAGCTGTGCTCTTCTAGTCATGATGGACAGATTTGCAGCCAGGAAAGAAAGACTTATCTTCTCTTCATCCTTACATAAACATATTTTTTAAAATACAAAATAGCAGCCTGACTTTCTTGGAGCGCAAACAGTAAGCAGTGCGGGATTGGCTTCCGTTTTTAAGTACAAAGTAGCCCCTCGCGTTTATGGGGGAAATGTTGCACCCAAGAACGCTTGGAAGAGGTTCATGTCAGGACTTTCCTTTTTAAAAAAATCAATTGGGGAGGGGGAGCAGTGCGTTTGTGGGGTCCTAACATGGCCCAAAGGGAGCTGCCCAGCGCGTTGAAGCCTTCCTGGCAAATCTGGGCTGGGCTGGGCTGGGCTGGGGGCATCTCTGGCGGCTTTGCCAGCCTGCAAATGCCAAGCATGATTTCCCCACTTGCAAATGCCAAGCATGATTTCCCCGCTTGCAAATGGGGCTGGGGGTTCCTGTGGCTGCCCGCAGTGCAAAGGGAAGGGCCTCCGTCAGGTCTCCTCACTAGGAGGAAAACTCACTAGGAGGATAACCCAGTTAATTCTTATATTCAATAGCCTTGGCCTTGGTTCATTGCTCTTCCTTTTGCACAAACAATGCCCCAAATGCCAATTCCTTGTGTTTAAAGAAAGTTTTGGTGGCGCGACCACTTCAAAGAGGGACTTGGCTTTGTGGGGGACCCGAGTCCCTTTCGGTCCTGGGAAAGGATTGGGAGTTGGGAGGTCTGCTTGCCCGCCACCCACCCAGGCTCAGCCTGTTTCCCTTTTG